GAATAAATATTCTGTTACTTAAACAATACAGACACTACGGGAATTTTTGCCGATCAATGTTTTAATTATTTATTGGATTGGAAGGAATACCTGGACATCTTGGTGTTTTGCAAAGAGACTCAAAGCAAAGATCAATGCCATTGCCGTTGTGTCGTGACCCTACAAAAATTTCTTACATTAGGTAAAAACTAAATTTCTGTTTCTCGCTACTATAGGGTACTGATTCCAACGAAGGAAAGTTTCGACGATAACGTTTAATGTTTCTTCTAGTTTAAACACTGCTTAAAGGGCGTAATCTCCACACATAAATGTTCCCTTGAAACATAAGAGATTTTGCAATCGATTGAAAATTAAGCGAGATAAGCTGTTCTTCAGACATATGTTCCTTCATTACTTTTACCTCAACAAAATCGCAATTAAACGCACCGCTTAATAATTGAAGCTTTTATAAATAAAAACATTTATAAAAATAGCAGATAGAGTTTCTTTAAATTTTTTTGAAAGTTATTTTATATCTTTATATTTTTTTTTTTAAGTTATTTGTGAGATGTTTCACTAGAAGAGCTTTTTGATAACGATCAAACTCAAATATCTTCAGAGTTTTTCAAAGCGTTATACATTGCCTTAGGACACCTGCATGCAATGAAAACAATGTATAAGGAAAGAAAATAAGTAAAATATAATTCAAACGGCAAAAATTAATTCTTTTTTTAACATTTTCTTGTTATCTCTTATTATTCGAATTAAATAATAAAGCTTACCTCAAACATAAAAGTATCTACTTCCTCTCGAATTCCTTCGTCATCAATTTGATTACCATTTAGAGAAGCGGCTATGAGTAGATCAAGCATAGAGAGTCTTTTCTTTTGTGTTGAATCTGTGAAAAGAATGTATGAATAATATTTTTTCTAAAATAAGCATTTATTATATTACAATAAATAAAATACTTGTATTCGTTTCTTCTAAGTTTTGAAGGGAAGTGTCGATATTTTCCGTTTCTTCAAATTGGTATAAATACTTTCCATTAGTTTTTTCGTGAAATTGTTTTCTTTCTGCAATTATCTATAGAAAGTGTAGCAATTTAAAAAATCTAAAAGAATTTATGTAATTGTAATTTCAGTTTTTAGCGGATTTGAATGACTAACTTACGTCTTTTGAAAAACTATGTAATATGTTCAATACTTTTTTGTGAAGTCGACCAACTGAAGAAAGTCCAAATATACAGTTTACATAGTACCAAGGTCTTATGAATCTATCAAAACAAAAATAGTTCTCTTTGATAACATATCTTCTTCAATCGACTAAGATACTCTTTAGTAACCGAGATATTTATTACCTATACGCCGCGATTCTTCCGAAAGCGTGAACAGCATCACGATACTTAGATTCAATTTCTTTTCTTTCTTTTAAAGAGGTATCTAGAGCTGTTTCTACACGTAAGCTCGCATAAATTATTTTTCTTCTTCGAAAATCAATAAATTATGAATTATAACTCTACTTACCACATATTATGTTTAGTGTATGTTGCGTAATGAATGTTTGTAAATTTTTAGCAATAGCGTCTCCTTGTCTTTCTTGTTTAAGGGATTCAACTAGGCAGTGTGCTTCTTTGTTGAAAATCGTAACACTATGTTCCAGAATTTTAAAGTGGAATGCGGGTGTTAACATTTTCCGCCTTTTTTGCCATTTCTTACCTTACAAATTATACAAATCATTAAATACGAAGAAATATGTTAATTTTTCATGATTTTCTTGAACTATTACCTGTACTAGTCAGCAATCCATACGATAACCAAGGCCTCAAGAAGTAATAAACATATTCTTTATCAATATTTTCCGTGCTCGTCATCAGAACCTGTCAAGAAAATTCCTTTTTTCTTTATTCGACAAAATTTCGCTATTGGTTTATATATGAGGATTATAGCGAAAAAGGAAGAGAAAATTTTGCTTTCTCCTGTCGTGTAATCATTTACCTTAATATCATTCGGATGAAGTAGAATTACTGCATAATATGAAAAGACCCATACTTTGTAAATTGGAAAATACTTATTATTTAGTTCCCAAGCTTTTTGAATGAAATTTTCTACAGTATAAACAAAATATTTGTATCATGTAAATATATAATTTAGTAAAAAATAGTTCATATATAATAGTTTTACTTTTTGAAGAGCTTACCATCGTATAGATTATGAATATTTCCAATTATGGGATATTCTTTTGGTCCTGGAAGACAGTCAAGTATTCTTCCAATTCTTCCATATTTTATTTTGCAGTGCAGAACAAATAGTAATAGAATTGAGCTTAAGAAGATCGTAAGGAACATCATATCTGAGAAATAAGAAAAATAATTGCAATAAATGTCTTTTAAATATATAGTAAAAGTCTGCATGAAGATGAAATGTATTTTTTATGTTACTTAGCATACGTAAAAATAAAGAGGAGTTACCTTATATAATTATGATATTGATCAGATTTATGGAAAAGATAAATATCCTACGAATGTAATCATTGTTACTAGTAATATATATAGACTATTATTTTTTCTTTGGTGTTGATTTAACATAAGACGAAACTGAAAAAGATTGCGGACCGAAAATCTCAGAAGAAACGTGTTAAAACACACAGAGAATAATAATAAAGTTTACAGACATGAAAACTTCCGAAATTAAATAAAAGTTACATTTAAAAATTTATGGAACCGATGATTGATTCATATATGAAGATTACAAAAATAATATTTAAAATTTCATGAATTATTAATTCTTAAAAAAATTAATAATTATAATTTTTTCTATTTCAGATTCTGCGATGCCAAAGACCAATGCTAAAATTAGTCGGAAGTAGCTGGAGTGCGGAAGAAGCTAAAAATGCAGCTAAACTTTTGTTCACGCGCATTCTATGTATGCTAACGGTAATCCGTTTCAAATTGACGTACAAATTCTTTAAATAGAAATTATACGCGCGTCTTGTACGGAAACTCAACGACAGTATATTAATACGGTGTGGGTGATTTTGTAGTAATACTTGTTGCGTATCCTACGCAGCGAGTGAGTAGGGCGAAGCGCCGGGGCGTGTACGGCCCTACCAAGGCGTGAGACACGCGCGACAAAGCAATATCTTTGTTTTTGGTGGTAACCACGGGAGCGTCAAGATCATTGTAAGGGCTCCTTCTTTCTTCTAGCTTGCGCTCTCCCATCACAGTTATTACGCCAATCATATGTATCGGCGGTCGCATTATCATCGGGCTTTTCGGTGATTGGTCTAGCGTTGCATCGCTTTTTTGTATAAAGCCCAGCGCGTTCTCGCGCCTAGCGGCACTCATCATTTGGACACTCGGCACTCATCATTTGGGCATTCGGCACTCGGCCTTCATCATTTATCATTCATCGCTCGAGATTCATCTAACTTGGAAAGTTGAGACTTGCGAGAACCACTTCGAGGAGAATTATTGTATTGCGCAATACTACATCATTTAAGTTCGTCCAGCGACAAGGGACAAGGGCAGGCGGTCCTGCACGTGGCCAGAATTATTCTGCTTTGTACGGATTCTTCTTCAACGTTTCAACCAGGGTTTTTATGCCGAAAGGCTTATCCCTGACGAGCCAAATAAAGCGTACTTTTTAGTACTGACTGGGCTCAAATATATTTGTTATTGGTGTTTTATTCTCCTATCCACCTTCCTATTAATAAACAATCTCGATATTACCCGTGAGGGCATTTTCGATTCACTGAACAATCCACTGGAGTACCGATTAAGGCATTGGTCGCAACAACAATACTAAAGGCAATTCTTTTCTCAACAATGTATTTGATTATTTAAGTCTTGGCGACTATAATACAATTATTTGAATGCTTGATGTATGAATGTTCGAAAAAGAATGTTTTAATATTTGATGTATACTGTTCGGATACTATAAAACAATTGACTGTGCTTATATCAGAAAGCTGTATAATAAGTTACCGTCAAAGCCGGAAATCAGTCATTGCTAATAATTCCTCGGCATTACTATGAATGCAAAGAGCCTTCAGACGAAGTCGGAAATAAGACTTTTTTCTTCTTAAAAAAGAATTTGTATAGCTTAAGGACAGAAAAAATTGAAAAAAAAAATAATTCCCCCACTAAGAATCGAACGGTAACTACCCGCGTGAGAAGCAGAGACGATACTACTTACGCTAGCGCGTCMTTTGACAAATATTCAATTTTTTCCTTACAATTTTTGTGATTGTGAAGCTGAATAAAAATGCATTTCTGTTTTCTTATAACATAATAAAAATGAATTAAAGAAATGTCTAGACAAAAAATAAATTCCACGTTTTTAGAATATCCTTTCCTGTATATCTTGAATTTATTTTATGTGTAGATATAAAATTCTTCTTTTTCATATATGTATCCAATTTGATACACAAATAAATATTTGGGAGACAGCAAATCTTTAATTTAAAATTTCCTAAAATACATCATTTGTTGATTAAATAATAATAGTTTCTGTTAAAATGGAATATTGTTTTTCTTTTAATCAAGGTTCACTATTTTTGACAATAAATAAAAAAACGGCATGCCATAAGCATCAAGATTCGATTTAAAAATGCCGCGCTT